ATGTAGATCTAGTCTGGGCTACTTAGTCTGATTTTTGTGGTTCTGTTTTCATTACAAGAATGGCATAGGCTGGGAGCCGGTGGCTCATGCCTGTAATCCTAGCTACTCAGGAGGCTGAGATCTGAGGATTGTGGTTCAAAGCTAGACCGGGCAGGAAACTCCATGAGACTCTTATCTCCAATAAACCACTAGAAAACTGGAAGTGGCACTGTGGCTCAAGTGGTAGAGCACTCGCCTTGAGCTAAAGAGCGTGGGGATAGCACCCAAGCCCAGAGTTCAAGCCCCACAACCACCAACAACAACGACCAAAAAAGAATGGCATGGGTTTAGTTACCATAACTTTACAACATGTTAAGAGCATTGTAAATAGTTTGGGAACAGTTAATCATGAGTTGACATGGCAGGTTGTGATTATGAATCTGTCAAACTTTTAAGACCTGTCTGGGTTCAGAGAACCAAGTTCAAGGGCATTGAGTATTTGAGCTGTGAAGAGAAGGAAGGGCTTAGACTGAGATCGAGTAGACAGAAAAGTAATGTCCATAAAGGAGCTCAACCATGTCCTGCCAGATGGATGGCGACTAGGTGGAGGTTATTTTATTTGGTGTGCGCGCGCGCGCGCGCGCGCGCGCGCGCGCGCGCGCGCGTGTGTGTGTGTGTGTGTGTGTGTGTGTAATTCTAAGATAAACTTTTCGTAAGTATAGCACATTTTTGTAATTCTAACTCTTGCCTCCTTTAGTGATGTTTTCCCTTCTCAAAGAATTGTTTAGATTGTAGGCAACAAATATCTTAACAGGGGAGGGAGTTATGCTGTAAGTCCCTGAAGGCAAAATGCAAGCAGGTGCCTTCCAGAAAGAAGTTGAAAGGGAATCACGTACAACTGCCTAGCTCAGTCTAACTAGCTTTTGTGATCTTGCCCTAAGCAGGTAGCTGCTCTGGGCCTTTACTTCTCCCTGTCCAAAAGAATTCTAAACCTTGCTTTTAACTTGTTCTGGGAGTCTAGGGAGTTAATACCTGTGTATATTACCTGCTAATACCTTTGTTGTTCATGAATGACGCTTTTAGTTACTGTTTCCTAGAAGCCTTGCAGTTTTTTTTTTTTTTTTTAATTTAATTTTATTTTATTTGAGAACATACTGTACAGAGGGGTTACAATTACATGGGCAGGATAATGCATACATTTCTTACCAAGCATTGCAGCCTCCTCCTTTGTTTACCCTTCACCTCCCTTCCCAGCCTCCCCCCTCCCTCCCACCCAAGCCTTGCAGTTTTGCTTAGGAATACTGGCTTGTTCATTCTTTCCCTTGATGACTGAAAGTCTGTCCACTCTTCAGGTTCATCCTCCTGATAGGGCTGAATAGCACCCACCTTTGCGTCTCTTTTATCTTCTAGTGAAATTTTCAGTGTCTGTTTTATCCTAGCCCCTTTCCGGCCCCACTTGAAGTGCCCAGAAAATTGCCAACCCTTTGAGGACAAGAGTATGTTTTACCTTTACACATCCCATAGTTTCTGCCTAGAAGAACACTGCAAAGTATGGGAAATCACATGGAAGCATTTGTATTCTGGACAGTGCAGGGATGAGCAGAATAGACACAGTCTGGGTCTCCATATGACTTTATGGGTTCCATGGTTCTTGCTCATGTGCAGAATCCATTCTGACTAGGTAGCAGGGTCCACATTTCATGATCAGGGTCCAGATTTCATGATCTAGTGTGTGACTGGAGGAGAGCCTACTGGGTAGCACCATGCCATGGGGATGGGGGCTCCATCTTCTCCCCTATTTGTTGGTTTTGGGACAGGCTGGCTGGATTTCTGTCTGCAGCCTTGAGCCAGGCTGGAGGTACACTGTGACAGGGGAGAGGCCCTAGAGTGGGACTCTTCTGTGATGGCATGATCCTGGCCTGAGACTGTACTGAATACCTCTGCTCTGAGAGGCCCCTCAGTGGAACCTCTACCTGCCCTCTACCCCTGGTACTTGGCCTGAGTTGAGGCTGCCCCACAGAACCTGGGGTCAGTGCTAATTGGTCTCCAGAGGTGCCTGTAAATTCACATAATGGCCATCTGGGCCTTGGGCCTCTGCCAGTGTCATCTACATTTTCATCAGGGAAGGTGGAGGACACTGGAAAAACCAGTTCGGGTGTGGACGGTGCGTTGTATGTCCTTGCAGGGAGTGCTGGACTCTTGGTTCAGGAGCCAGGAAATGTCTCTTAGAAAATCTACCTTTGGCAGAAAGTTAGATGAGTTGAATTAGTCAGCAAGTTCCTTTAACGAATCATGTTCTTCAAGCAGGCCGGTGAGGCAGGATGGATTTGGGGTTTGCTGCTCTTCCCTGTGATGGGAAAGACACCCATCATAACCCAGAGCAGTGCTGTGTCTTCTATTGGAGAAGCATTTGCTTGGGCATACCATAAGATAACTCCATGAAAGCCCAGAAGCGGACATGGCTGAGGGGGCCTGTTTGGGCTTGGCCACCATCCTGTTCACCATTGTGCTGGTGAGCTCTTTGATGTCCACACCAGCTGAGTCACTGCTCACCTCTATAGCCCTTAGCGTGCAATTGTTGTTCCTCAGATATTTGGATTGAATGGTTTAATTTCCTTTCTTTATCCATTTCATTAGTCATTGGCTTGTTTCCCATGTCTGCTTTAACAAATGACTGCACGTGCCTTGACTGATCATGACAGAAAATGATTCTCTTACAGTCCAGGAAGCTGAAAAATCATGGAAAGACAGGCAGGGTGATACTGCTGTAGGAAACCTACAACTGGTGTGCCTTGTTTACTTTCTGCTGGCTGCAGGCATTCAAGATATAGTCTCTGTCTCCATGGTCACTTAGCATCCTCCTTTCCTCTGCCTTCACTGTATTTCTAGTAGATTCTTCTCATTGGATTTAGGGCTCACAGGGATTATTCCTTAATAGCATCTCATCTCAGAACTCTTAATTTTTTTTTTTTTTGGGTCCAGTCGTGGGGCCTGAACTCTGGGCCTGGGCGCTGTTCCTCAGCTCTTCAGCTCAAGGCTAGCACTCTACCACTTGAGCCACAGCGCCACTTCTGGCTTTTTTCTGCTTATGTGGTACTGAGGAATCAAACCCAGGGCTATATTCATGCTAGGCAAGAAATCTACCACTAAGCCACATTCCCAGCCCTAGTCAGTTGCCTTTTAAGCTATGCAATAATATGTTAGTTATTAGGTTTCTAAATTCATTGTTAGGAGTTTTTGTTTTATATATATGTGTATAATTTTACTTTTTTATGGCTAGATTTTCCTTTTTTCTGTTGATTTCAGATTCAGAAAATCCTTTCCTATGAAGTGTATAATAGGGAGCTAAAATAACATAATGAGAAGCTGCTTTTTAACATTGACCACTTAAAGCTGTACATGTTTGTCATGTACAACATTATGTTTGAGGGCTGGGAAGTTGGCTCAGTGGAAGAACGCTTGCCCTGGGTTCGATTCCTCAACACCACATAAGAAAAAAGAAAAAAGCCAGAAGTGGCGCTGTGGCTCAAGTGGTAGAACACTAACCTTGAGCTGAAGAGCTGAGGGACAGCGCGCAGGCCCAGAGTTCAGGCCCCACGACTGGACCCCCCCCCAAAAAAAAAAATTATGTTTGAAACGTGTACATATGTGATGATTAAGTCACACTAATAGTTGGGTGCTGGTGGCTTACACCTGTAAACCTAGCTACTCAGGAGGCTGAGATCTCAGGATAACCATCACAAGCTAGCCAGGGTAGAAAAGTAGTTTGTAAACTACTCAGAAAAAGGAGGAAGTGGTGTTACAGCTCAAGTGGTAGAGTGGTTGAACACAAAGAGGTTCAGGAACAATGCCCAGGCACTGAGTTCAGACTGACAAAAAAAAAAAGTCACATTAATACATACGTTGCCTCACATGTCAGCAAACTTCAGAATACAGTATGCTGTTGTTAACTATAGGCATCATATTGAACTCAGTCTTCCTATCCAAATGAAGTTTCTATCCTCTCATCAGTATTTCCTCTTCTACCTTGACAAATTGATTATTTTATCTAATGGTAACTTATTTTGCTATTTGCTATAAGATGATGGTCTATACTTAAAAAAGAAACAGCCTTTAAATGGATTAAAATTTCACACACCTGCATATGTATGAGAGACAGACAGACAGACAGACAGACAGACAGATAGACAGATAGATAGATAGAGGCAGAACCCAGGGAGATCTGAGTAAGATCTAGTTTTGTGAATTGTTTTGTGTTAGTGTCAGACCTCAGGTTGATAATGTACCATCATCACATTAGATGCCACGATTGAATTATATCTTCTTGTAAGTCTATAATTATTAAAAATAAAAAGGGTGCCAGCAGCTAGTGGCTCACACTTGTAATTATAACTACTCAGGCAGGTGAGATCTGAAGATTGTGGTTCAATGACAGCCAGGCAGGTAAGTCCGTGAGGCTTGAAGTCAGGGCCTGGGCACTGTTTGCATGAGCCATGAGCACCCAGCTCTATTTATATTCTTGTGCCAGCTTATGTTGGTTATATGTCACTGAATAGAATCTCCACACCCTTTGAAATGCATGGAATTCTTTTAACTGGGAAAAATGCTTCTCATTTTGCCACTAGAGACAATGTTTAATGTCTTGGTTCCTTTACACCTGCTCTCAGGAATGGCACGGTTAGTTATTACTACTAACATGAATTTAAGTGGCTGTGCCCCATTGGAGATGTGTCCCTTTTAATGCTAACTGTATTTTTTCTTTTAGAATCTCTTTCTTTGGTAAATGTCAAGGTACTATCTCTGAGGGGGAGGGGTCACATGGTATGTTCCTTGGGGTGACATAGGCCCCACCAAGCTGGATGGACAGTTTGGGGGGATGGATTAGTCTAGACTTGTTTCTGTAATACTCATCATGGCTTTGAGGCCTGGGTGGCCATAGAGGGTGTTGAGAAGGCTGCTAGCTAGATGAGCCCCAAATTTGGACACTCAGAAACAGGATATGTATCGTTAACCCTCTCCAGGTCAATCCTATGAAATCCGACTATTGGAGAACCGGAAGCTGGGAGACTTTCAAGATCTGAACACAAAATATGTGAAGGTCAGCCTTGGGCCCTGGGCCTCAGGTCCTGTTATATCTACCTGGATGAGGGGTGATGTGGGTGGAGGTGGGGAAAGACCTCAAAGGGAAAGGTGGGTTTTAACTCATCCCTAAGCTACAACTCTGGTCCTCTGTAGCTTCCTGTCCTGAGATTACACAGCACCAAGGGCCAGAATAACTTTGCTGATGAAACCAGATCTAAATAGACAGTTGCAGGTTCAAGCCTGGCTTCGCCACTTACTGAGCCTTTCTGAGCTTTAGTTTATTTGCTTATCTGCACAAAAGGGTCCATCCATCACATATGTGTCAAATCTTTTTTGTAATCCTGAAAATGATGGCATTCTTTATTCTTCCAATTTGTGGGTTCTAAGGAGAAAGCAGTACATAGAATCAGATCCCCAGAGGTGGAACTTGAGATAGGTGGGGTCCCCTGGCTGAAGGTAGGTGAGGTCCCCTGGCCCTCCACTGAGATGTGTACCCCACACCTCCCTTCCAGAGTATCATCCGTGTGGTTTTCCATGACCGCCGACTGCAGTACACAGAACACCAGCAGCTGGAAGGCTGGCGGTGGAGCAGGCCGGGGGACAGAATTCTGGACATTGGTGAGTCTCCCTGGCCAAGCCCAGCCTGAGGCAGCAGCCTTTATGGAGCTCTTTGTAGATGCCATATGGTAGACATCATATGAAGCTGGACACAGTGATACATGTCCATATTCCCAGCTCTCTTAAGAGGCATGAAGCAGGTGGCCCAGGGATTCAAGGGGTAGGTAGCCTGGGCTACCTAGAATTTCTGACCTTGTGTCAGAAAATTGAAGGAAGGAAGGAAGAAAGGAAAGAAGGAAAGAAAAAGAAAGAAAAGAAATGTTGGGGTTCTGACTAACTGTCATCTTCAGATGACTTTCAAGTCCTGCCTTCAAGGAGCTCTCTTTTTCTTTGAAAAACAAATTTCTACAGAGTATAAAGACCTCTTGTTAGAGAAGAATTCCATGAAGGCTCTGTAGAAAAATACCAAGTTTGACAGGATTTTGATAATGGAAGTGGAATTTTGGGATTTGGGTACTAGACTACAGAGTTTCATTGCAATCCCTTGAGATCAGATGCACCTTAGGAATCAGCCAGAATGGTAATGGGGTGTGTTACCCCCCTGGTGGCAGGGAACACTTCCAACAGGAAATCATGTACCATATTTCTGCAGCAAAATCAAATGACTGTTCACACAGAAAGGATAAAGTCTACAAAGAGCTTCACGGCAGTTCAAGTCAGGCTGTGTGCCAGGGGAGTTCTGCCAAACTTACCTTCCAGAGCTTTTGGCATTGCAAATTGTGCAGGAATTTGGCCCTCTGTGGAGGATCCTTCTCTGAGTACTGGGAGAGGCTGACAATTGCATCTTTGTGTGTGTATGTGTGTGTACACAGATATTCCACTGTCTGTTGGTATCTTGGACCCCAGGGCCAGCCCGACCCAACTGAATGCAGTGGAGTTTTTATGGGACCCTGCAAAGAGAGCATCTGCTTTCATTCAGGTGAGTGAGTGAGTGAGCTTTGGAGGCCAGCTTGCAGCTTCGCAAAACCAACCCATCCTGAAGGGTCTGAATGGTCTATTCTCCCTTGAAGGGAGTCTGGATGGTCTCCTGTTCTCTCTTGAAGGGAAGGTTGCTGAGGGAGAGAAGAGGAGTGTTAACTGCTCAGTCTCCAGCTAGCTGGGAAAGAACTTAGAATGCTGTAATATTCTGTTTGGATTTAGCTTACATAGAGAATTTATGAACTTTCTCCAGATCAGCATAAATAATTAGAAAGTAGACATTTTCCCCATGATAGTTGTTATTCATTGAATGATAGTTCATTATGCATATCTACTGTTATCTCCCATTGTTAACAGGCTCCATGAGGTTGGGTGGTCAAGGGTATGGCTGTGGCCTTGTAGTATGGCTCTGGGCTGCATTCTGGCTCTCTCTTTGAGTCACACTTTTTTTTTGTGTGTGTGTGTGTGGATACTGAGGCTTGAACTCAGGGCTTCCCATCCTTGCTTAGCTTTTCCACTCAAGGCTGGTGTTCTACCACTTGAACCACACACAGCTCTACTCCTGGGTTTGTGCTACTAATTGAATATAATCTTATAGATTTTCTGCCCTGGCTGGCTTTGAACTTCTATCCTCACATCTCAGCCTCCTGAGTAGCTAGGTGTGTGCCACCAGTGCTTAGCTTTCACTGTGTACTCTTGAGCAAGTTCCTCCTACCCCTATTTTGAGTTTCTGATTGTAATACCGAAGCCACCAACCCAATACCCATTCTATGGAATTCACTCAAATTCCTTTTTTAAAAGTTTGTTGTTGTGTTGGTATTGGTATTTGAACTCAGAACCTTGCACTGGCTAGGCAAGTGCTTTACCCCTTGAGCCACGCATTGTCTTATAATTTTTTACTGTATAAAAATTATTATAATGGGACTGGAAAGGTGGCTGAGTGGTAGAGTGCTTGCCTTGCATGCATGAGGCCCTGGGTTCGATTCCTCAGTACCACATAAGCAGAAAAAGCTGGAAGTGGTGCTGTGGCTCAAGTGGTAGAGTGCTAGCCTTGAGCTGAAGAGCTGAGGGACAGCGCCCAGGTCCAGAGTTCAGGCCCCATGATCGACCAAAACAATTACTATGTTTTAATTCATTGTAGTATATAGTAATGTATCCGCATCACACCTTCTATGAAGCAAGCACTTAACAGAGATAGAGCTGGTCTGAGCATTTTGGTCCTGCACCAGCCTTGCCTAAGGATGCCAGGATGGCAGAGTGGTTAGGGTTGTGCTGGGTTACCTGCAGTCAAGTCTATGGGGTCTGCCAAAGGAAGAGACCCTGGGTGAGAGGTGAGGGCGGGGCTACTGAGGTCAATGGCCTGGATCAATGCTGAGAACATATCTAGATGGTCAGGCTGAGCCCCCTGAACCAAAGGGTCAGAGATGGGAGAAGGTGTCTTTTGCAGGGAGAAGACCAGGGAGGCCCTTGGTGTGATGGAGTGGGCCACGTGTGAGGAACAGCAGGGAGGTGGAAGAAGGGAGGGACACCTCTATGTGGAGAGGAACCAGGGAGTGGGGCACACATCTGACTACCCACAAAATGCTCCCCTCCCAGGTGCACTGTATCAGCACAGAGTTCACCCCAAGGAAGCACGGGGGCGAGAAGGGAGTGCCTTTTCGAGTACAGATCGACACGTTTAAGCAGAACGAGAATGGAGAGTACACGGAGCATTTGCACTCAGCCAGCTGCCAGATCAAGGTGTTCAAGGTGAGACCCTCCTTGCCGGGCCGTCAACCACATCTGCCTGCAGTGATGCCACGAGGAGGTTGCCCCATGCCCTTGCTCAGAGAGGCCAGCTAAAAACACAGCACCTTAAACGAAAAACAAACAAACAAAAAAACACACCAAAAAACCAAAATGAAAGCTTCTCAACACTCCCGAGTCTATTAATCAAAGAAACATTCTCAGAGGTTCCTTATGTCTGTCCTTTCCTGCTTCCTGTCTTGTACCTCTTGTCTATGCCTTTTATCTCTGGTTAGTTCCTGAAAATGGTAGGCAACATTCCAGCTCTTTCCCATGTGCCCTTGGGGGGGATATGTCATTCTCCTCACATAGGGCTGCCGGGTGCCTGCAGCCAGCCCTGTTCTCTGCAGGTCTAACCTGCCTTGTTTATCTGGGTGTCTCCAGCAGATGCTTGCAGAGTGGGAGGTAGAGCCACCTCCACAGGAATTGTCTTGAATGACAGCCCCAAGGCCCATTGGGTAGCCTAGGTCAGTTTGAAACCCACTGAAAAATTCTGCCTGTGGCGGCTGGGAAGACAATAGCAGGTCATTTCAGACAGGAGCATTAGAGAGACCACTGGGCTGTGTTGGTGGACCTGTGCAGGGATGATTGCAAATATAAACAAACATCCACAGGGAGACAAACCATAAACTGTGTGGGCTTGGGGTCTGGTATTCTGAGCCCTAGCAGGGGTTTGGGCAAGGCACCATCTCAGCAGCTTTGGGGGAGGAAGCAAGAATGGTGTCTGCTCTAAGGATCCTGCAATGAGAGATCTGATTCCTGAGGATTGTGGACAGAGGACTCCATGGGCCTGGCAGTACTCTGAACTAGGCCACCCTGGTCCCTCACCAATGCTGGCCCTGGGTGGAGAGAGACGAGAGAGAGAGAGAGAGAGAGAGAGAGAGAGAGAGAGAGAGAGAGAGAGAGAGGACTGGGAAGAATATTTGCATGTCTTTTTTGCCCTTTAAAACCTGGGATGTAAAAGATCAGAAAGGAAGAGAGATCAGAAAGGAAGGGGGGAAGGGGTCAGGGAAGCTGGACTTCCCTGCTATATTTGCTTCCTTAAAAGTACAAACAGGGATAGGATTGGTACCAGTGACTCATACTTGTGATCCTAGCTACTCATGAAGCTGCGATCTGATATTATGGTTGGTTCAAATCCACCCTGGGCAGGAAATTCTGTAAGATCTTATCTCCAATTAACTACCAAAATGGAAAAAGGAACTGCCAAAAGTAGAGGTGTGACTCAAGTGATAGAGTGTGTCAACCTTGAGCAGAAAAAATTGAAGGGTTAGTGCCCAGGCTCTGAGTTCAAAAGCCAGTACCAGCACAAACAAACCTGTGCACATGATTAAGTAATTACTTGAGCCCAGGACTTTACACCAACCTGGGCATTATAGTGAAATTTTGTCTCAAATATCAACTAAACCTCCCCCCTTCCCCCAAACTCTAAACATTGATTATCTGACAATGTGTCTCACTAGATAGTGATGTCACTGGTCCCCAGTTTGGAGGTTCTGAGTTCATCTTGCCTTTTCCAGCCTCTAGTGATGTTCCATTCCTTGGCCCTTCCCCCTGTCTTCAAAGCAGAAAGTTCTTCCTCATCCTTCTGGCACTGTCCTGACCCTTGCTCCTTCTCTCCATTTTTCAGAGTCCTGTGATTACATGGAGCTGCTCAGATAATCAGAATCACTTTCCTATTTGTGGCTCAGAGTTAGTCCAGTCACCCAGAGAAATCACCCTAAGTCTTCCAGTGCAGCAGCTCCCTTCCTTGCTTAGACATCAGTTTTAGTCCATCATTCTCCGGTGTGCCGTGGGAATGAGACATTGTGCTGGATATTAGAAGAGAGGGGAGGGTCTTTGCCCCGTGGAGTACCCCTTCTTTCCCCCAGTTGCCTCTAGCTCCCTTTCTCCATGCCAGAATCTTGACCATGAGGGCCCTGCTCCCAGGTGGGAAGTTGCCTTATCTGAATGCCCCCAAAGAAAGCATTGGTATACCCTTTGGGGAGGAGCAGCCCCTGATTTCCCAGAATTGGCCTTTCAGGATGTCCTAGGAGGTGTGCGTTCACCCATTTGCCCCTACTCATAAAAGCAGATGACAGAGGTGTTTTTGCACCAGATCAAGCTGACCCAAAGTATCCCCCTTCTCTTCTGTCCCAGTCACCCCTCTGAGTTACTGAGAGCTCCGATGGGGTGGCACCACACCCTGTATAGCTCTGTATGAGGTGCCAGAGTCCTTGAAAGAAGAGGCCAGCTCTGCTCTGACCACCCAGGTTCACAAAGGCTTCATGAGGACAAGAGCTGTGCCCCCATATGCAGGCTTGGCCCTTATCTGACTATAACCCTTTTAGCATGGGTTTCAGGGCAGGGAGGCAGGGCCACCTGAGGGCCAGGAGCTTGGAGGTAGAGCAGGGAGACCAGGTGTGGTTGCAAACCTAGGCTCCTGGCAGCTTCCTTGGAACCATGTCTGGCTGTCACACTGTTCACTGCCACTGGTCTGTTCCGTATCTACCCATGTACCCCTACCTTCCACAGGTATTACCACAAGGGATCATCTCCCTAAAAACCTTTGAGCTGGAAACCAAAAGCTGTCACCAGAGGAAATGAACTCCATCTCCCCTTCAAGGAGCCACAGAGCCTATGCTAATCCTTTGTGTTTCCTGTGAATCACATGTGCTTAGTAGATCAGCCCTCAGCCCCCAATTGGTAAAGAGGGAATAATAGTGTCTGTGAGGCCTGGGGCTGGGCACTCAGGAGGCTGGGGCCAGGCATCCAGGACTGGGGCCTTCTATTGTAACTTAGTCACCTGGGGTCTTCCCCCTGAGGTCCCTTTCCCTTGTTCTGTATGTGGAATGGGAGCTGGGGAATAGGTATACCTCCTCAGAGTTGGAGCTAAAGGAGTCTTCACCAGCTGTGTGCAGTGGCTTAGGCCTGTGATCTCAACATTGGTGGTTGAGATCATAACCTGATGCAGGAGAATTTGAAATTTGATGCTAGTCTTGACTACACAATGAGTTATGGGCCTGCTTGAGCTGCATAGCATGGCTGTCTCAAAAAACAAAAACACCGAACAATAAAAGAGGTCTTCAGCAAATGGCCAGCATTTCAGAGAACATGAACCCTTGACCAGAAGTCCAACTGTTTTTTCCTTTTGCTGTCCAGTGGCTGCCCTAGGAACAAGTACATTATGGTTTGTCCCACAGCCCCTATCCATGAGTAAGTGGCCATCAGTAGCAACCTTTTCCAGATACTTCCCAATGAGCCCCCAAGGGCCAGGTTCTGAGTTCCCTCTGTTGAGAAAGCATAGACACATGCTAGTGTATGGAAATGGTGCTGCCCCATCTGGACCATCCCGCCTCTGCTTTGGGGTTTCAGGGCAAGGCAGGGAGCCTGTAGGCCTGGGGTCTTCCTCCAGTAGCCACCCTGGATTTTTATGGACTAAGTGGACCCTGTGCTGTGTGCTTATAGCCAAAGGGAGCTGACCGGAAACAGAAGACTGACCGGGAGAAGATGGAGAAAAGAACTGCTCAAGAGAAGGAGAAATACCAGCCATCCTATGAAACCACCATCCTCACAGAGGTGAGCACAGGGACGGGGCTGAGCCGCCAGCCCAGCAGGGCCAGGTGGGGTGCTGGCTGTACAGTCTTGGAAGGTCACCCAGGTGGGTAAATGGGTCAATGTCTCCTTTTCAGTGTGCACCCTGTGTGTGTGGCTTCCTGCCCACTTAAGACTTAGAGGCAGTTCAGATGTCACTCTGCGCTCTCCACTGCCCTTCACTGTGTATGCTCCTTTCTCAAAATTTGAACACTTGCATTATTTTGAAAATATTCATTTCACATGGTTCAGATTTCCAGAGTGTACAAGCAGAAGTATTCTCCCATTTCTCCCTCCTTCCCTCCAGGTGCCTCTGGTTCCAGGCAGATGCAATCTGCCTTACTTTCTCTGCACAAAGGGCAGATATACACACTTTGTCATTCTCCTGCGTTTGTGTGCCATAGTGCGCACACATGTACCCCTCGGTCCTGTGCTTTTGCATTAAAGAGCTTCTGGGGTATCTGTTTTCAATCCCTTCATGAACGGTTTGCTAGTGTTCAAGTGGTGCCAGGAATAACTGACTGTGAAGATCCATACAAGACAACTATATGTGCAGAGGGCCCCTTTTTGGAGTGGGAGGAGGCCTGGGTGGCAGGGTGTAAGTGAAGGCTTTTAAAATATGTGTGTGTGTGCGTGTGTGCGTGCATGCGTGCACACGTGCACATATGTGACAAAGAACCAATCCAGAGCCTCATGTAGATTAGGCAGCTGCTCTGCTAGTGAGTGACACTCTCAATCTCACTCCTGAGATTTTGCTGCTGGGGTGGATCTTGATGTTCATTTTCTCTGATGCCCAACACCTTGGCTGTCTGCTGCAGCCATTCTCAGGTCCAGGGGTACTGATGAGGTGCTTGCTGTCACAGACCTCTTATTTCTCTTGTTCTGGGTCACAGTTGGCTTCCCCACTTCTGCTGGGCTCTGTTTTCTTTAAACAATAATTCCATACTGTATCCTGCAATGGGTTACCTAAGTGGTGTTGGTATTTTGTGCATCGAATAATTGGACTTAGAAGATGTGGGCAAGACCTGTGCTGGCTCTGAGAATTGAGGCTGAGTTTAGAATAATGTTAGGCATAGACTGTCCAAGAAGAAGATGGCTGGGCATTGGTTGTGCACATGCAGGCATGCCCATGTATGTAAAAGCCACGTGCACATGAGTGTTTATAATAAAATAAGACAGCATAAAAACTAACACAGTGCCCTTCAGTGTATTGGCATTTTTCTGCCTGAAGGTAATTGTAATGGTGGACAAGTGGCCTGACATAGGAAGAGCCCTGCTCTCGAGCCAGCAGAGCAGCAGAATCCACCATGGGTTAGGACTCCATTTCTTCCCATGGCTGGTCCCTGCTGTGCTGGTGCCATTGCTGGGGGTGTCCTCTGCCTAGTGACATGTTCCTCTTCCTGGCTGAGCCTTTGCTTCTCAGCTCTTTTGCTGGCTCTAGTGCTGGTGAGCTTCATGCCACCACCCAGCTGCACAGCCATCATCACAGAGCCTTGTATTTGGTGGAAAGCCCTCGGCCATGACCTTGAGAGGTGTGGGTCCCCCTTCTATCAGCTCATCAGCGTTCCTGGGGCCAGAGGATTTAGCATCAACAAATTCCAGCCCAAACCTACAGCAGTTAAATATTTACCAAGCTTGGAAAGTTTCAGATCTGCCCTCTCCAGCATGGAAGGGAAGAAGTACAGCTCTGGAGCGCTTACCTCCCGTAGCAGGCAAGGCCTGCGGGTCTGGGCTCTTTGGGTAACTCCTGAATGTCTCATTTTTTACTTCCAAACTGGAAGTTCCTTGAAGTTTACAGAACGTGTGTTTCTCTGTCTCCAGAAGCCCAGCAGGATGCACACACACACACATGCACATACACACACACACACACATGCTGGAAGGAGCTGCTCTTGATAAACTGCAAGCGTAACTCCTACCTGACAAGTGCCCCTATATGAAGTTTGATTTTTTTTTGTTATTTTTTAGCACTGAATTTTACTGTTTATGTTTTGTCTTCAGAAATTGCCTATTCTCTCTATAACAGTCATTTACATACATTTTTCTGTGCTAGGAAAATCTATGAGCAATGGGCCTGTTTTGATTTTTTTGATTTTCTTCTTCGCTTGTCATCTCAGGAATCACAAGATTGCGTTTGTTTCCCTTTTTTGTTTGACTACCCGGAAACTCAAGAAAATAGACTCTTTTCACCATTTACCTGCACCAGGATACCTTCTTTAGATCTCTGCAATATTGGGTTTCCCTTCTTGTGACTTTATTAACCCTTCTAGTTGTGGTTCATTGCGGAAACTCAGTAAATGCTTGCTTCTTGGGACCTGAGGAGCAAAGACCAGAGCTTCTGCATCCTCTAGCTCATCCTGAGGACTACTGCCAATTTGTCACATTGTCTTGTCTCTCCTCCCACAGTGCTCTCCGTGGCCAGATGTGGCCTACCAGGCGAACAGTGCCCCGTCCCCAAGCTACAATGGTTCTCCCAACAGCTTTGGTCTTGGCGAAGGGTATGTCCAACCACCGTTCTTTTGGGGTCCTTGTGTAGGTCCTTTTCTTGATCTTCATACAGCATCTGGCAACTATGTGGGTTTCAGTGTGACAGTTGCAGCCATATTTAACCCCCACACTCTAGGGATCGAGTCTGGGGTCCTGTTGGACAAGTGCTACCCCTAAGCTACTGGGCTAGTCCTTGATTTTTTTTTTTTTTTTTTGATGACAGGTTCTCACTGTAGCCCAGCCTGGCCTTGAACCAGAGATCTTCTTGCCTCAGCCTCCTAGGCCCATGACAAAACTGAGGTTCTTGGGGTTCTTGGGGTGGCCGAGAGAAATTCTGGCCAAGTGCCTTTAACAAGTAAGCACAGAAGCTGAGTGGATTTTGGCTTTCTTGTCCTGGTGGAGTAGAGAATTTTCTCATGAGTGAATAAGCAAGGTTGCCCATGAACTTGATTTTACCAAGATAAAGTCTTCCCAGGAAAGTGAAAGAGAAATAGGAAAAGGATCATATTTATATCCAGTAAACCTACTGTTTTTGTTGGCTTTATTTTGTTTTTGACCCAGACTCTCACTGTATATAACCCAGGCTGGCCTCAAACTCATAGTTCATTTGCCTCAGCTTCTAGACTGTTGAGATTATAAGGCATGCGCCCAAGCATCCAGCTCAAACTTAGTCTTAAATGTCCACCTTTTTGGGGGGTGATTTTTTAAATCTCTCTGAAACTGGGAATAGGATCCCACAGGATCAAGAAGAATGAGCCTACAATATCTGTATGCTGTAGAGAATTGAAGGACAGCCAGTGTTGTTGATGGCTGGGACAAAAATCATCTTTTTTTTTTTTTATGGTATCTACAAAACATAACATTTACCATTTCTATCATGTTTAAATATACTCTATAATGGCAGTAGCTATGTTCCCACTATTGTGTAAAAATTCACCTCCTCTATCTAGTAGAGCCATTTTGGAAAGGATCTTTCTTTCTCTCTCCCTGCCTTTGCCTGCCCCTTCCCGTTTGTACTGGTACTGGGGCTTGAGGTACACAAGATCAAGGCCTCCTCCTCTTATTTGGCTTTTTCAACTCAGGGCTGGCACTTTTCCATTTGAGCCATAGCTCCATTTCTGGCTTTTGCTGGTTCATTGGAAATGAGAGTCTCACAGATCTTTCTGCTCTAGCTGACTTCAAACTGTGATCCTCAGAACTCAGCCTCCTGAGTAACTAGGATTTCAGGCATGAGCCATCAGCCCCTGGCTAGAAGATCTTTATCTTAAAAGAGCAAGTGCACAGGTCTTGTCCTTCCTGAGTTAGTGCTTAAGGAATGTCATGTGTTTCCTTTCCCTATTGGCAAAACCCAGATGGTATTGTCTGACGCCAACCTGTAGATACCCAGTGTATTCCCCATGGCCCTCCTGTTTTCAGGAAAGGTTTGCTGATAACTTTGGTTTGATTGCAGCTATTCAGGCCTTGAGCTATGGAGAGGAGAAGGACTTGGGGCCCGAAGTCAGCCCACCTTCCCTTGGACTGGGGCTTGGGATGGAAACTCACAGTGGGAAGTGATCTGCTCACCAGCAGGGGTTACATCCATGTGGTTGCTGCTAAGTGCTGGGGGTATAGTAGTTGTTGGCTAGGACCATGTCACATACCAGAAACTGTGTCTACACTGGTGTGTTTGCTGTGAATTTTGAGGGAATGGACAGTGTCTACTGCTCATTATAAGCTCTCAACTCATTTCGTTTAAAACAAGTCTCACACCTGACAAGATGTAGGATCCCTGACTGTCCCCAGAAACTCTCCCCCCTCATCGCCTGTCCATCTTCTGTTACAGCAACAGTTCACCAACCCACGCAGTGGAGGCCCTTCCCATGGGCAGTGATGTAAGTGTGTGCCGGGCTCTGGGGCTGGCGGTTCCCCGCGGCTGCAGGCCGCTTCTCAAGGCCTCATCTCTTTCCCGCAGCACTTGCTCCCATCCGCCTCCATCCAGGATGCCCAGCAATGGCTGCACCGGAACAGGTTCTCACAGTTCTGTCGGCTCTTCGCCAGCTTCTCGGGTGAGCATCTCTCAATAAAACCCCACAGGCATCTAGGAAGTACTTAGCAAGACCACCTGCTGTCCTGTCCACAGCTCTGTGGGGCTGTCTTGGGGAGCAGGAGACCCACAGTAGTGTGAGATCCCTCTCTTGCTATGCTGACACTGTGTCAAATGCTAGAGACATGAGATGCCACAGGCCAAAAATGCTGCCCCTCTGTGTCCCAGTCAGGTGACTTTAGAGGGACTGTTTGGGTGACTTGAATTCAGATGCCCTCACCTGTGGGCATAAATGGTTCTTGCCTACCCAGGAAGGGTCTTCTCAACCATTGAAACACTGCTTTGTCACCCTGTCTCCAGAGCCATAGTCTGAGATTTATATGTGAAACCAGAGGAGAGGCAGGATAGTTCCTTCTCCCTTAAGGCTCTGACGTCGGTTGGTGGCCCTTGGACAGAAGTCCTGAGCTGGGTACAAAGGTACAGTGAGCAGTGAGCCTTGCCACCAAGCAGCTCATCCTGGAGTGACCAGGAGTAAAGGTCCAGCCCAGACCAGCAGAGCAGCTTCCAGAGCCATCTATGGAGTGAGCAAGAGCGGTGTGTGCTCCTCCCCCAGATCTGCCCTTCAGAGCCTTCCTGGTGTTAGGGGTAGAAGCACAGAAACAATCAATGAATGGAATTGCCTGTTCTCAGTGGCCTGTCCTCAGAGACTTGGAGCTTTTGAGTCAGTTCAAAAGCATGAACTGGCATGGGGGTGGGGATGGTCAGGGAAGGACCCTGACCTGCACTCAGGGGCAGGGGTGGGAGGAGGTTTTCTAAGGTGTCCTTGAGCAAAGGCTAGAAAGAAGGGAGGGAGGGATAAGAGGGCTTTGGGGAAGAGCTTTCCAAGCAGAGAGAAAGTAGAGGCCAAAAGGTGGGTGGGTGCTTGGTGTGGTCAGATGATCTAGGGGATTGAGAGCAGAGGCAATGAGATCAGAGAGGCCATGGGGAGCATAGGCCAACTGAAGGCCTAGTAGAACAGTGGGAGGACTTTGGTTTTTATTCCCAATAGAAAGGGAAGCCATTGTACTCGTGGACTTGTACCTAAGACAATGTCTAACTGTGGAGAGCTTTCCTGGGCATTGGGATCTGGGGATTGGGGCACTTGGTCTTTAAGAAAGGCAGCTCTCCTCCCCAACCCCCTCGACTTCACATTGTACTGACTTTCTAACTCTCCTCTGACCCTGGATATAGCCACTTTTCTCTGTCCCTTAAAATATGGAGTGGGGGGCTTGGTGTGGGTGACTCATGCCTATAATCGTAGCTACTGGGGCTGGGAAGGTGGCTCAGTGGTAGAGCGCTTGCCTTGCATGCCTGAGGCCCTGGGTTCGATTCCTCAGCACCACATAAGCAAAAAGAAAAAAGCCGGAAGTGGCACTGTGGCTCAAGTGGTAGAGCACTAGCCTTGAGCTGAAGAGCTGAGGGACAGCGCCCAGGCCCAGAGTTCAGGCCCCACAACCGGACCCCCCCCCCAAAAAAAAATCGTAGCTACTTAGGAAGCTGAGATCTAAGAGTAGAGCTTTGAAGCCAGCCCAGGCAGGAAAGTCCCTGGGAAAAAGCTGGAAGCAAAGGACACAATTCCTATGTGCATCTGATCATACAAAATACTATTTATCAAAGTGAACTCCAGGAACTGAAGACGAGATTTTTTTTCTTTGTTGTTTTCATTTTATTTTTGTCTATTTGTGCATTCGTAGGTTTTTGGGAGAGTAAGATGGGGCACAGAAATGGAGGGACAAAGGGTGAACAAATAGAGAAGTGGTACTCACTAGACACTATGTGGAAAAATGAACTATACAACTTGTGGATGGGGATGGGAGGGAAAACTGGGAGAGATTGAGAGAAGGAGTGACATTGTTCAAAAAGAAATGTACTCTTTACCTGACTTATGTAACTGTAACCCCTCTGTACATCACCTTTATAATAACAAACAATTAAAAATAAAAAAGCTGGAAATAGAGCTATGGCTCAAATGGTTAACATTTTTGTTAACTTTGAGCAAAATAACTCAGAGACAATACCCATACCAAAAAACAAGCCAACAAATAAATAAATTAGGGATAGGAGTGTGTGTGTGTGTGTGTGTGTGTTGTGTGGTTATAGCACATTGGGAATTTTTGGACAGTAACTGCTAGAGCCAAACTACATATCCAGCAGATTTGCCACATGTATGATTAAACCACGCAGGAGAATTTTCTGGAGCCTGTTTGCACCAGCTCCAAGATGAGAAGTACCCTGAGTCTTTTCAGCAGAGTAGATGCATGGATTGTAGTATATTCATGCAACATGGCATACCTTATAAGGGGCATGACCACTTTAACTTCATTATATGCAAACAAGCCCTGAAACAGGTTATAGAAGGAGAGAGCTAGCCCTTACCAAGTTCCCACCATTTAGGTCCATTTCCCTAAACATCAGAGTTGAAGCAAAGTTTGTCTGCACCAGTATGGAGTTAGGGCAGTAGTTCTCCAGGAAGGGTGGGTTGGAGGGGGGTGGGGCTGCCAGAAAAGGTCTTAGGAGGCTCATAATGTCCCATCCCTTGGTTTCTGAGTTCCCAAGATGTATTTGAATGGTCAGCCTCCAGTGGACTGTGCACTTCTATACAGAGACATGCACATGTAATTACTACCCCCCTGCTGATAAAATCTATGCACCTTGATTAATGCCAGTGGAAAGCACAGAGAGAGGGCCTTTTATGAGTACTAGGTCTAGCTTCTGACGTCTCATGGGCTATGATCTCCTGGAATTATTGAGCTCTTTGCTGTTCCTGTTTGTGGAGTATCTAATGTCCACCAGGGGTGAGACTGGCTCTTTCTCATCCCCTACTCTTGATATGATATGAGTCTGCAGGTGCTCAGGAATGGAGCCCTTCCTCTCTGTGTGTCCCACGTAACTGGGTGGCCATCTCCCTGCCTAGGTGCTGACTTGCTTAAGATGTCCAGAGATGACTTGGTCCAGGTCTGTGGCCCTGCAGATGGGATCCGGCTCTTCAACGCCATCAAAGGCAGGTGAGTTGGTTTTTCAGAGAAGCCAAATGGAGGCTGGGGCCTGGCTATATGTGGCAGACAGCCTCTATCCATCTCAGCTGTGCACTGCGGGTGGGCTGGTTGGTAGAGACTGAGTGATGGGACTTTTTCTGCAATGTGGGGGCAAAAAGGTGTCAGGCAGGGGCAGGAGAGTGAGGTGCTGTGCGGCTCCTCTCTCTTCTGTTTGATCAGAACATCTGACTCCCCACCCTTAGCCTCTGGAATGCTTGGAAGATCTTAGATCAGAGCTGCCTCCTTCCAGAGAGCATATCAGGACAGTGTTGTCCATGGAACTTAATGCCCAGTGGGAGTGTTCTGCTGCTATGCTAACCAGTCCAAGAGCCCACGTCCATAGTGGGAAGGACCCTGGAGCTAACGTGACAATCAGATTGACTTTTAACTTTAATTTTATTTAGCTTTGATGTTTATATTCCTGCTATGAAAAATTGAACCCAAGCCTTGTGCTGCCATGCATGTGCTATGCCTCTTAGGTACAACCCCAGCCCCAAAGTTAAAATTTAGTAGCCACACACACAGCACATGTCTTTTTTTGGTCGATCGAGGGGCCTGAACTCTGGGCCTGGGCACTGTACCTGGGCACTAGTCTCCCCAAGGCTAGTGCCCTACCACTTGAGCCACAGCGCCACTTCAGGCTTTTTATGCTTATGTGGTGCTGAGGAATCAAACCCAGGGCCTCATGCATGCAAGGCAAGCACTTTACCACTGAGCCACCTTCCCAGCCCTAAGAGCATGTCTTAAAAACTCTGCAACAGTGGAAAATTCTCCTCTTTCTTTTTTCTTTTTCTAGTACTGGGGCGTGAACTCAGGGCCTTGTACTCTTGTTTAGCTTTTTTGTTCATGGTTGGCACTCCACCACTAAGTCTGACCTGTACTCTTGGCTTTTTGCTGGGTAATTGGAGATAAGAGTCTCTTAGATTTGGATGCATGGCTGGCTTCAAACCATGATTCTCAGATCTCAGGCTCCTGAGAAGCTAGGATTACAGGAATGAGTACCTGGCACTCCACTGAGTCTCAGTTTCTCCATCTGTGCTATGTGGGTGAACATAACTGCCTGGAAGGCTCTTTCTTGTAGAACCTAGAATGTCTGTCCATCACGCTTCCACTAGATAAACCTGTATCAAGACAGGAAAATTAACCTGGACTGGATTCTTTCTCCTTTCATCCTTCCATGAAACTCAGTCTGCATCTCCACATTTCATCTCCCTCCTTAGGTCCTACTCACTTCAGGTTCCCCTCTGTGTTCTGGAATATTCTAGCACAATGGAGCTTGGTGCATCACACCTGCTAATTATTTCCTTCCTCCTGCCAGGAATGTGAGGCCAAAGATGACCATCTATGTCTGTCAGGAGCTGGAGCAGAACCGAGTACCCCTGCAGCAGAAGCGGGATGGCAGTGGAGAAAGTGGCCTGTGTGGTGAGTTGTGGGAACAGAGCCAGCTCCCAAGCCTGGGGACACTGCAGCCTACCTTCCAAGCCCCGCCCCACCTAGTGCTTCCCCGGGAATGTTCAGGCCCTGTGCCCAGCTAGCTTCAAACCTTGATTCTATATTTCAGCCTCCTGAGTAGTAAGATTACAGGCATGAGCCACTAGCAGGGGCTTGTGCTTCTTTTTTTTCAGTCTGTTGTGGGGCTTGAACACAGGGCCTGGCCACTGTCCCTGAACAAGCCACAGCTCCACTTCTGGTTTTCTGGTATATCACAGACTTTCCTGCCTGGGCTGGCTTTGAATGGCAATCCTCAGATCTCAGCCTCCTGAGTAGTTATGATTATAGGTATGAGCCACCAGCACCAGCTTGTTTACTTTTGAGGAACCTGAGTTCCCCCTATAATTGAACAATAGTGGCAGGTGTGATGATATACTTCTATAACCTTAGCTACTCAGGAGGTTGAGACAATATGATAAAGATCTGAGCCAGCCCAGTCAAAAAATTAGCCATATCCTGTCTGAAAAACAAAAGCAAAAAGGAAGGCCTGGAGTGTAGCTCAAGTATAGAGTGCCAGCCTAGCAAGCTGAGGCCTGGAGTTCAAACATAGTACTCCCTCCACCCCTAAAAAAATAGAGTAAACCATTCTGGTTGTCCCAGGAGTTTGCCTGGTGGATTTAGGTGTTGTTAATGGAAGCATATGCAGGTATTCTGACTTGCTGACAGTATAAGACCCCTCCTGCAGCCTCCCCTTTCCCTTTGGGGTCACAGTGCTAAGTTGATTTGTGTCAGGGAAGGACCAGACCTGTTCGCTTCTGTCATTGAGTAATGATTGTTTTAAATATTCCTCTCTCACCTGAAGCTGTTCAATAATTTGTTTAGACAGTGGGAAAATGGGAAAGTCAACACAGGCCTTCTCTACTCCCTCCTAAGCAGGGTGCACATTTGGCTACACATCAGAATCATGGGATGCTCCTCCAGCCTCGACCTCCCACTGGGGGATCCTGGGCTGGGAAGTGGATCCAGGGAACACTGGAAGTGCTCAAGAGAGACAGAACAGGAATGAGGAGTCAGGGTCTGACATGTGCACCAGGAAATGAGTTGGGAGGTAGAGGGACAGAGAGAGGTAGGCTCATGGTAGTTTAATGACCATCTGAGAAGAAGGTGCTTGTTCTGCCCTTTTCCAGTGTACCAAGCCATCTTTTTGGAAGAGCTGACCACCTTGGAGCTGATTGAGAAGATTGCCAACCTGTACAGCATCCCCCCCCAGCACATCCATCGGGTCTACTGGCAGGGTCCCACGGGCATCCACGTGGTGGTGAGCAATGAGGTGAGGGTGCCACGATGGGGACTTTGGCCTTCTGGGAGGAGCCCCAGATTCCTACACCTTTGTAGGAGTTGAAGAATGGGGCCTGGGATCCAATTATCCCTTTCAGGGATATCCCCCCCCCCCCAATGACCTAACTTCCTCCCACTAAGCCCACACCATCAAGGTTCCATATCTGGTCAACAGTGACCAAGCCATTAACACATGGGCTTTTAGTGAACATTCAGAATCCATGGTATAGCAAGAACTTCCTGTGTTTGGGCTGCTACAGCTGCCTGGGAGGCAGAGTCCTGAGACCACATTGGGTCTGAGTGGCTGCTGAATAGCTGTTCCTTGCCATGCTGTTTGCTGCCCGCCCTGCAGGACCTGGCTTTTAGCGTGCTCAGTCATGTTGGTGGAAGTCAGGAAATGGTGCACCCCTAAGGTGGACAAGGTAGGGACCGGATGGAGTTGGGTGAAGGAGCAACTGTGGCTCATGGAAGATGACAACAAGGCCTCTGCTAAGTGGTGAAGGTGTCCCAGTGCCACAGGCCTGTGTAGGGCCCAAGTAGTCACCAGTGAAGGGCTCAGGAAGTGAGTGGGGCCCTACTGAATCTATGTCTGCTGATGGCTGACCAACTTAGGCTTTCCTTTCATGTTATAGAAAAGATGCTTTTAAGCTCGCTACATCTTGTTTCTTCCTCCCAACTGACTTTTTTGGTGTGTGTGTTGGGGGGGTAGTTTATTAGATAGGAGTTTTCATGGACATTTCTGCCTGGACTGGCTTTGAACTATAACCCTCTGATCTCAGCCTCTTGAGTAGCTAGGAATACAAGTGTGAGTCACTAGCACTTAGCCAGCTTACTGGATCAGATTCCTGGGACAATCAACTTGTGAAGTCTTGTGAAGAAAAGAACTTGTGAAGAAAAAAAAGGCTTATTTTATCTCACACTTTCCAAGTTTTCAGTCCATGATATATGGCTGGTTGTTTTGGGGCCTGGGTGAGACAGTACATCTTGTGGGAACATGTGGTTGAAGGAGTAACTTTCCTCATGGTGGTTAGGAACCAGGGTGTGTGTGTGTGTGTGTGTGTGTGTGTGTGTGTGTGTGTGGTGTGTGTGTGTGTGTGTGTGTGTGTGTGCCCAGGGTGTGTGTGTGTGTGTGTGTGTGTGTGATGGTGGTTAGGAACTAGGGTGTGTGTGTGTGGTGGTTAGGAACCAGGGTGTGTGAACCAGGGTGTGTGTGTGTGTGTGTGTGTGTGTGTGTGTGTGTGTGTGTGTGTGTGTGTGATGGTGGTTAGGAACTAGGGTGTGTGTGTGTGGTGGTTAGGAACCAGGGTGTGTGTGTGTGTGTGTGTGTGTGTGTGTGTGTGTGTGTGTGTGTGATGGTGGTTAGGAACTAGGGTGTGTGTGTGATCTAGGATACCATTGTTCTTTTCAAGGACATTCTGCCATTGACCTAACAGCCTTCCATTAGGCCCTAACTCTTAAGTTCTTCTACTTTCTCAAACTCCAAACTGCAACATGAGGACCTCTAGGGGAAAGTAAAGAACCCAACTGTAGCAAGTGCTTACTATGCTCTGGTTCCTGCCTTAGGTGGACATACAGCAACTCTATTATTCAATCCTGAATGTCTCTATGAGGTAGTTGAAGTTACCCCATCTCACAAATAGGAAACTGAGGCACAGAGAGACTAATTGCCCCAGGTGACACAGCTAGTAAGAGGTAGAACTGTGTTGAGAACTCAGGCGACCTAGCTGCCAAGCTTGAGATTGGAGCCAGTAGGGTATCCAGTAGGATCTATTGAAATAAGAGCTATGTTAGTGGGTACAGTAGTAGTCTCCTGAGCCCCCAGCTATCCCCAACCAGGTTCTACGAGTCCTGAAATCCATGGTGTAGAGGATAATGGAGGAAAATGGTGGCTAGAAAAGTAGAGAAACTATGGGCTTTAGAGTTGGACTGGAATCCCTGTCCAGAGCTATCTCCTGGTAGTGGAACAATCTCAGGGAAATGTGGATGACCTCAGTTTCTGCATTAGCAGAGTGGGGATGCTCACACTCATCAGTAAGGATGAAATGAGAAATCAGTGGTGGGTTCCAGGAGACCTTGGGTCTTGTCATTGGCCATGCTTTGGCTGTGCACTTGCTATTTTTAGGCAAGATCTCTTTAGATTTGGCAGTACATAGCACGTAAGTCTGAATGCTGTGTGTTTCATAAGTTATCCACATTAGTAATAGTCCTTTTGACACTTGCCACTGCAATTGTCAGAGTCCTTTACTGTTCATGAGTTTCTTCATGCCTGGGGACTGGCAAGATGTTTTTTTCTTCCTCTTAAATGGTAATTCAAGAGAGGGATGGCGGGTGAATGCAGTCAGAATACTTGATGTACACTTATGAAAATGAAACTAGGAAACTTGAGGGGATAGGTAGGGATGAATTGACGAGAGGGAGTGATAGATGGGGTGATACTGATCAAGATGCATTGTACACATAAATGGGCATGTTAAATTAAAGCTCCTTTGAACAATTATTTGAGGACAATGAAAAAGAAAAAAGTGTAATTCATAATTAGTATAGGTTGGAAGTGTAGAATCGCAGAAGACAACAGCCAAAGATCCTGCTTTTCCCGTCTCTTCCTAGAGGGACTAACATTAAGTTTGATAATGTATATGTGCTCACAAACACATGCACATGCACGTGTGTGTGTGTGTTGTGTATGTATGACATGTTTTGTGTGTGTGTGTGTGCTCATGCATATGTGTGCATGTGCATGGATGGTTTTGTGTTCTGTATATTCATGTTTTTTTTTTTTTGGGTCCGGTTGTGGGACCTGAACTCTGGGCCTGGGCACTGTCCCTCAGCTCTTCAGCTCAAGGCTAGCGCTCTACCACTTGAGCCACAGTGCCACTTCCGGCTTTTTTTTCTTTTTGCTTATGGGGTGCTGAGGAATTGAACCCAGGGCCTCAGGCATGCAAGGCAAGCACTCTACCACTGAGCCAACTTCCCAGCCCTATATTCATGTATTTTGCATGGTTTGTATATGCACATGTGTTTATGTGTTGGGTATACATACATGTGTTGCATGTTTTGGGGTGTATGCATGTTTGTTTAGCAGGTATTAACATGCAGTTCGTGCCCGTGGCTCATGCCTGTAATCCTAGCTACTCTGGAGACTAAGATCTGAGGATCTCAATTCGAAACTAGGACAAAAAGGAAAGTCCATGAGACTCATCGCCAATAGCTACTGGAATAACTACTATAATAACTACGAAAGCCATAAGTGGAGTTGTGGCTCAAGTGGTAGAGCACTAGCTTTGTGCAAAAAAATCTCAGGGGCAGCACCCAGGAATAGCCCTGAGTTCAAGTCCCAGGACTAGTACACGCAAAAAAAAAAAAAACAAAAAACAAAATACTCAACATGCGTCCAGCTATCTGTGACTATTAGCAGCAACCCAGTCTTTTTCTGAAGCCTCAAACAGGTGTCTTTTGGTCCCCATTTACCAGTGAGGAAAGTGAGGGTCATAGTTCCTATCCTGAGTGCTTCCTTGAGAGTAGCCAGGAAGGTGGAGGGGTCTAATGATGGGCAAGGGTGGTGGCATGGGAGGTATGTCCCTTTGTACTGAAGTCTGAATTTGTTTTTGTGACAAAAAGCAAGAATGTTGGGGAACCCTTACAGTTTTACAGGCCCCTGAGGAAGTTCCTTCCCCCCCGTTTGCCCTGTGCCCTCAAGAACAGGCAGTTAAGCAAGTGAAGCAGAGAACAGAACTTGAATGCCACCTTGGCAAAGCAGGCGATTCCCATTCCCTGAAGTCACAGAATCAATTGGAAAGCTTGGGTTCTAAATTGCCCAGAGCGCTGGAGGCAGCCTGGCCAGCCACAGAGCCGGCCCCTGGGGTGCAAGGGCATTTAATTAAACAAGGGAGTTACTGATTAAGCCCATGTGGGCCCTGCTTAGGGCTTTGCATGCCCAAGTGGCTGGGCTGCTGGGAGGCCTAGATGGAGCAGGCTGGTAGTATAAAATAAATGTACTTCATGCATCATTAGGCCCTCAGGGAGGGCTAGGGGTCGACAGATGGATGGATTTCTAAGATTTGAAGTTGGCATTAATGCAGAACCGGTGATAAAATGTGGGTTTCTTTTTTTCTGTGGTACTGGAAATTGAATCCAATGCTTTATAGGTGCCAGATAAATGCTGTACCACTGAGCCACATCCTTGGCCCAAGGCTTACATTTTTTAATTTACAAAATATTTTTTTTGTTGGTACTTTGGTTTGAATTCAGGGCTTCACATTTGCTAGGCACATGCTCTGCCACTTGAGCTACATTCCTAACTCATTTAGCTTTATCTATTTTTCAGATAGGGTTTCATGCTTTTGCCTAGCCTGGCCTTGGGCCATGATCATCTTCTCTATATCTCCCACATAGCTGTGAGAGGAAAGGTACCTGGTACCCTCTGTGACCAAGTAGATAGGGGTATGTATGGATGCCACCATACATGGATGCATTTTTTAAATTTGAAAAGGGGCTTTGTTACCCCCTTGACTGTGGTGTGCATGATTGTATACATGTGTATATTTTTAGCATTCTTTAGTGTATATTGGGAGACACAGCATGCATACGCGAAGTTTATAAAACACACAGTTTAATAACTGCCTGCTTCTCAGATGACTTGAATATTATTTTAGAAGCCTCTACAGCTTGTTTCATGTGTCACCTCCCTGCTACTGTGAAGTTTGTATTAATCATTCCCCTTTTCCTACTTAAAATGGTTTTTGTTGGTGGTGGTGTTCATGGGGCTTAAATTCAGGGCCTGGGTGCTGTCCCTGAGCTTTTTCACTCAAGGCTAATGGTCTACCACTTTGAGCCAAGCACCACTTCTCGTTTCTGGTGGTTAATTGGAGGTAAGCGGCTCATGGATTTTGCTGCCCAGCCTGGCTTTGAATTGTGATTCTTAGATCTCCGCTTCCTGAGTAGCTAGGATTATAGGCATGAGTCACTGGTGCCTGGCTTAATATGTTGTTTTTCCCCCATTTTATTCTGATTCATGGAAGCAGAATACTAGTATATATTTCTGCAACTCCCTTCTCATTCTTTGCTATGTTTCTGAGTCTCAGGTATGCTGAGGTGCATGGCTTGAGGTCTGTTGGTGACATCAGTAATAAAGATCTCAATTGATTTGCAATTCCGCTATTGATTGACATTAGGACTGGTTCCAGTTTTGTGTTAGTACACATAATGCTGCTGTAAACATTCTTTTTTCCCTTCCTTTAAAAAAAATGCCTGTTCCAGGGCTTAAAGTGAGGACCTCATGCTTGCCCAGCTTTCTTGCCCATAGCTGGAGCTCTACCACTTTAGCTACACCTCCAATCTGGTATTTTGCTGGTTAATTGGAGATAGAGTCTCACAGACTTTTCTGCCTGGGATGGCTTTGAACCTCAATATTCAGATATCAGCCTCTTCTTCCTGAGTTGCTAGGATTACAGGTATGAGCCACCAGTGCCTGGCCTAAACATTTTTATATATGCATTTGTATATATGCAAAAGGAGTTAATCTAGGACATACATCTTGGATGAGAATATACATGTTACTCTTGATCAGGTTACACGAAGTCTTCTGGATTTCCACTCCTCTATCAGCAGATGACAGTTGACATTACTCTATCTTGGTAATATTTTCATCATTGAAAATAGCCCCATTTATAGCTGGGACATGGAGATAGAAAGACTTGTCTAAGGTCACTGCATAGTTGATAACAATTAGAACTCTAGAGAGATGGTTTGAGAATCACTAATTTCTTACCATATCAGTAGACATGGGGAGTCTATTCTTCTATAGTTTTTTTTCTTATAGGCTGCTGATATGCATATCTCACTAATTACCCTTTTGTTTAAAAAGTAATTTACTGAGGCCAGGTGCTGATATAAACCAAACTACCTGAGAATGAGATTCAGAGGATTTAGGCTTGAGGCCAGCCTGAGCAAAACAGTCCACGAGGCCCCTTCTCAACCGAAGCTAGGTGCAGTGGCATTGCCTGTCATTGTAAGCTATGTAGGAGACTGGAATTGGGTTTCAGGCCATCTGGGGCAGCAAAGTCTGTCAGACTCCATTGAATGAAGAGAAGCGGGATGCAGTGGCATGCACCTGTCACCCCAGCAGAGCCAGGAAGCCTAATATAGGCAAACTGTGGTCCAGGCACTCATCATGGCAGGAAAGGAGACTGTATCTAAACATAACCAGTGATAAACAGAACCAGAGACATGGCTCAGCAATAGAGTTCCTGCCTAGTCAGAGGAAGGCACTGAAGTGCAAACTCCAGTACTGCAAAAGCAAAATAAAACAAACAAAAAAAGCCGATTACAGTCACATAGCCCTTAAACAATGAGATAGATATCTTTTATGAAAGTGTCCTTAGGAAATTTCATCATTATCCAGACACCTCAAGTAGTACTGACACAAGCACTAATGGTCTGGGTCAATTGCTCAATGTAATCAAGAGGTACAACAGACGAGAGGTGTGTGTGTGTGGCTGATGCTGACATATTACTACACAGTTTAAAGAACACTTACAAGTAGAAGGAACACACTCTAAAGCAACAAGTAAACACACAGCATGGTAATGATATAAGCCTGTACCATTAATACCATTGTCATCTTCACGAACTAGTGCTGTGTACTGTGTCTAATTGTACCCACAACACTGACAGCACGGGAGGCTGTTGAACCCAACATCAGCACACACATGAACATTGCACTGTAGCTGCCATGTTACCATGGTGGCAGGGCCACTGGTAGTAGGAAGTTTTCAGCTCTGTTATAATAACATGGTACTGCCATTGTGTATATAGTCCATTGTTAATCAAAATGTGGCTAGTTTTTTGTCTGTTTTACATACACATTCATATAATGAATTCTTCACAGAGATTGAAAGATACAGTAACTAAAAAAAAGCAAAATAAATACAAACAATCTATACCCCTGTGTGCAATGATACTGTCTTGAAGGGTCTCCTTCCAGGCTGTTTCTTTCCTATCTGTAATAGGCAATTTCCTATTACTTAAAATTGCAGTTGTGTTACATAGTGACTGTGTGTCATTTGCCAGTTGTGGCTGTAGTGGTGTATTTTTGTGTGAATACAGTGGTAGTGTTGTTTGTATAATTGTTTGCCTGGGCAAAGAGGGTTTTTAAAATAATGAACTGATCAAGCTAAGTACTAGTGGTTCATACCTTTAATCTAAGCTAACTCAGGACTCTGAAATCTGAGGATCACAGTTTGCAGCCAGCCTTGGTAAGAAAGTAAGTCTGTGAGATTCTTATTTCTAAGTAACCACCAAAAAGCTGGAAGTGGATCTATGTCTCAAGTGGTAGAACACCAGCCTTAAGTGAAAAAGCTAAGAGACAGGCCCTGAGTTCAAGCCCCAGTACCAGCACAGATAGACAGACAGACAGACAGACAGACAGACAGACAGACAGACAGACAGATAGATAGATAGATGTGGTTATTGAAGAAACATGTCTCTCCTTTGCCTTTCAGATGGTCCAGAATTTCCAAGATGAGTCATGTTTTATCCTCAGCACATTAAAAGGTAAATCTCCTGTCACCTTGTTTAATTGAAGTGTGTTGTCTACATCCCTTTGTCTACATCATCCATGGCATCTCTTGGGCAAGGTAGGGTGGGGTGGATACATGGGCAGGACCTGCCTGAATAGGGCCCCTTCTGAGGATGGCTTTCTGGGATCAGCCTTTGGGAGTAAGGAAGCACCAGCTAGTCCTAGCTAGCCAAAACTAGCATGATTGAACCAAAGGAACTTCTGAAGGGGAAATCCTGGACCAGGCAGTCTGTAGTCCCTGAATTTCATGAGTTACGACTTTTCATTGTCTCTAGGAAGCCCAAGCATGGATTACAATGGTAGGCAGAGTATGCTGGGGACTTCAAAGGGGGACAGCATCAGCATGCCCACTCTGCCCAGAGAGAGACCCTATGCAACTGGAGATATGTTTTCATAGATGGTAAAGAAAGCCTTACAGTAGCTTGCCTTGGGAAAAGTGGATGTGTGTGCTATTTCAGAACAGAAGACTGGACCATGGGCCTTGTTCTGGTCTGAGGGTCTAGTGTTAGGAATTTTCCATTATTATAAAAAAAATACCTGATTTAGTCAACTTAAAGAGAGGAAAGGTTTATTTTGGCTCATGATTTCAGAGGTTGCAATCCATTGGCCTCATTGCTTTTGGGCCTATGGTGAAGCAGTACATCATGTTGGAAGTTTGAGGTATAGTAAACTGCTCATCTTACCAAAGTTGGCAAGAGAGATAGAAGAGGGCTACATTTCAACATTCCATTCAAGGGCACACTGCCATCACTAACTTCGTACCATTAGCCCCCTCTCTTAAAGGTTTCTCTACCTCATAATAGTGCCACAGGTTGGTGACCAACCCTGTCACTGATGAGCTTTGGGCACATTTACAATCGTAAGCACATATATAATTCCAAAGACACCGCTAATGTTATGGGCCTAGAACCTATAATATTCCTGAAAACCATAGTTAGATAGGTGCTTTTGCCTTTTGGTGTAGGACTGTGATAGAAAGGCCCATTGTCAAAAAGAAACTGGAGCCAGGCACCAGTTTCTAATATCTGTAATCTTAGTTACTTAGGAGGCTGAGATCTGAGGAACATTCTTTGAGGCCAGACCAGGCAGAAAAGTCCATGATAGTCCTGTCTCCAATTAACTACCAAAAAGCTAGAGGTGGAGCTGGGATTGAAGTGGTAGGGTGCTAGCCTGAACAGATAAGCTAAGCAAGAGCATGAGGTCCTGAGTTCAATAACACCCCCCCACCCCCACACACACACACCCCTAGGTAAGTTGGCTGCCAAGTTGTGTACTAGAATAAATTTGTGCTTCTGTTATGTGGCCTATTTGGTGTATGGCCTATTTGGTGGTCTCTGCTGGTACTCTGATACCACACCCTTTAAGACTCCCAATCTCCCAAATAGTACCTCATTGGCCTTGGTTGCTTTGAAGTATGCCCCGTGTTTCTCTCTTGCAGCCGAGAGCAATGATGGCTACCACATCATCTTGAAATGTGGACTGTGAGCAGAAGTAAGACATGCATCCACCCCAGCCCCATGGACCCCTGGGATGTTCTAAATTTCACCACTGTTCACTGCTGTCTACCTGACAAGCTGAGGCTAGGAGGAACCCTGACTGCCCCAGGCCATTCAAGCTACGGACGATCAACCTGCAGAAATCGTGGACACAAAAGCCAGCATGCAGAAAGTTATTGGCTTCAACTTGCTTCCTCTTGGCCTCCAGTTTTTGAAAATTTTCTTGTTCTGTTTCTCAACTTTGATTCTCTAAAAGCGGCCAACAGTGGGGTTATCTCTGAAATCCCAAGCCCCTTAGGTAGAAGCTCATTGGGTTTCTTTGTGCCATCTCTATTGGTCCCTTCTGTCCACTCCCCTGTCATTAGAAGCCATCCTCACCCTGTGCCTTTTCTCCTTCCCTGGTGCTGGCTTCCTGGCCAGCTCTGCTGACCTGATGCACTTTGCCTTTTTGTTCTTCACTTGCTTCCCCTCTCAGTGACCCCACTAGACTGGAGTTATTCTGTGCCTTCTACTTCTTAACTTTATCTTGTTTCTAAGGATCTGCTGCTGCCCAGACCAAAGGGGGGTATTCATGTCTCTGCATTGGCATAATGGGTAGATATTGCTATGTATTTGTATAGTCTGTCTCCTGGAGCTAATTCCAGGACCCACTTGAGGGCCAGGCGGTGGAGTGGAAATAGAAAGATACCTTTACAAACATCTTTATACTGATGAGAACAAAATGACTCCTCTTGAGCTCCTTTGGCATACATAGTTCTGTTTCCTAAGAAGTTATAGGTAAGAAGGACCCAGAAGTAAGCATTCCTTTATATTATCAGGTAACCTTGACCACTACAGTACCAGACTTTTGGGTTAGGGGGTGTATAGCTTAGTGGTATAGCATTTACTCAGCGTGTGTGAGCCTCTGTGTTTCATCCCCACCACTGTGAAACAAGCAAACTAACACACCCTTAAGAGAACTTACAAAATTCCATTTAGAGAAGGCTTCAGTTAGTCACCCACCCATCTAGCAGTTTCCCTGGGTTATTGTGGGGTTCTTCATTCAAGTTCTCATCTTTTGTTTTTTTGTCGGTATGGGGCTTGAACTCAGGGTCTGGGCTTGTCCCTGAGCTTTTACACTCAAGGCTAGTGCTTTACCACTTTGAGCCACAGAGCCACTTCCTTTTTCTGTTTTAGTGGGTATGTTCAGGGCACTTCACCTCTTTTGGAATAGTTGGATCTCCTTCTTATCTGTAGGGAAATGGACTTAGGAATCTATCTTTGTCTTGCCTCTGTTTTGGTATCCTGTGATATGTGCTGGCCATGGCTCCATCTTATTTCCCATTTAAATCATCTTCTAAGCCACAGATCACTTAAGTGGGTTCCACAGCTTCTGAAATAGAGCTTTTGTGGAATCTAGTGAGTGGCTCAAAGAAATCAGAATTGGGCTAACCTTGTTTCACAGATGGGGAGACTGAGGGACACAGCCATCTGTATGATATCATATAGAGATATATCATACAAACCAGGACAAATCAAGGGTTATGTGAATTGATGGTATTTTTTAAGTTCTTTATCAGTTGATACACATAATTTGTGAAAATGTTCCCTAGTTATAACAGGCATTGGTGACTCACACCTGTAATCCTAACTACTCAGGAGGCTGAGATCTAAGGATCGCTGTTCAAAGCCAGCCTCTGCAGGGAAGTTCATGAGACTCTTATCTCCAGTTATCTACCAGAAAGATGGAAATGAAGCTGTGGCTCAAGTGGTAGAGTGTTAGTTTAGAGCAAAAATGCTCAGGGACCCTGTCCCTGAGTTCAAGCCCCAGGACTGGTACACACAGACACACACAATGTTCCCTATTCTGTAAGTTGTCTTCACTCTAAATAATGGTGTTATTTGAAATACAGAAGTTTTAACCTTGGGTGATGTCCAAATTTCCTTATTTTTCTTTTGTCACTTGTGCTCTTGGGATCCTCTCTAAGAATTCATTGCCTAATCCAAGGTTAGGGAATTTTTCTTCACTGTTTTCACCCATTTTTGAGTTTCATACATGAAGTAGTGATCTATATTAGCTTAGGAGGATTTCATTGTGACATTTCCACACATGTATCAATGCATTCTAGTCAGTCTCCCCCATCACTCCCACTTATTTCACCCCCCCTTCTTAACACAACTTTAGCAGTTTTCCTTGTTCTGTTTTCATGCATGCCAACAATTGACTTTGACTATATTCATCCTTTCATTCTCCTTACCCAAACTCCTCCCAGTACACCCCCTCCCCAACAACAGAGCCTGTCTCTCTCTTTCTTTCCCCACTCTTGATCTCAGTTTTCATTGAGGTTCTTCATGCTGCTTTCATGTAGAGTTGCTCATATAGAGTATCTCAAAATTGTTCTTTTTTTTTAGTGTGAGTATCTACTCATTTCATCACTGATTACTGAAATGTTGTGTTTACTTGAAGAATTGTCTTGGCTCCTTTGCTAGAGGTCCTGGGTTCTTACTAATTCCTCCCTTCCTGTCCCCTCCCATCCCCTCCTATCCCCTCTTGTCTTCTCCTCGTTTTCCTTTTCTTTCACACAATCCTGCCTTTGGGAGGCTCACCTCCTCCTGACTCCCCACCCCCACTCTGTATTTGGCTCCACTATTTTTGTATCTCCCTAACTATTCTGTTACTGCTCTCTTTCCCTTTCTTTACTTGTCTCAGTAGTGTGGGGCTATACTTGTCTGATATTCTGCCATCTTTCTTGGTGTGTATTCCACGTCTTAGTCCTATGGAAACATCAAGACCAATCATTTCCTTCTTTGAACAAGTTAAGACACATAGAAGTGGAATAATTCAAGGTCACACAGCTCAGTAGTGGGAGAATCAGGTCTGGACCTATGGTTTGGCCTTCAAGGCTCCCCTGGCCACCACATCAGTGATTGTTATTACCCAGGCCAAGTGAAGGCAGGCTAAAGTTTCAACTCTTAGGAAATGTGGGAAATTATTTTTCTACTTCTTAGTTCCAAAAGAAAGACTAATAAAGGTCTGTTATCTGAAGTCTACTGTTAGTAGAGTCTTACATTCTCTGATGTGCCTAGTGATGTCTTTTCTCATTAATCTTCCAGTGGTTAAAAACAGCTTTCAAAGGAAGAAAAAATACCCAAAGAGGACAAGTAGTAAATCAATACCCAAATATCTCAGATGCCTAATAATTCATCATTTTACTCTTTGCATGAGAGTCATGAGATAAAGCTTTAGGTCTTATTAAAACGCAGAAAGGCACCAGGCTTCTGATCTCTGTCTAGTTTTTCTTATGGACTGTGAGTCTGGCGGTCTGGGCTGGCTGGACAGGGTGGTAGTGCCTCCAGGGCCCTCTGCACCAGCATGCCATGTGTTTTAGGCTGAGGCCTTTTGATGGCAAAGGTTTTTAAGAAGACACATGTTTTCATTTCACAGTTCAGTCTGCCATCTTGCATTAGAACACAAATTCTGAGTTCTTTGCTCAGTGGCCATGCCAATTGTTCATTCTGTCTGCAAGGTTGTCTGTCATAAACCTTCCCTGCTTACCTTTACAACAAGGAGATGTTGGCTGTGATTGGGGGAGAAGAGGGGTGGCATGCCTTTGGTAAGAGCAGTGAGGAGACAGGAGTTCCAAGTCCTGACTTAGAGGTCCCAGGCAAAGGTCCGGCATTGTCCTAGTGACCTCTCAGCTACCCAGGCAACCTCTGGCTACTTGAGCTGAGCTGTGAACCTAGAGAGGGCTTTACCAGGAAAGGAAAGGGCCACACAGAGCAGCAGCATGTCACAAGTTTCCAAGTCCAATGTTGCTTCGGGGGCTGGCCGGCGTGGCTGAAGGTCTGAAAATCATTAACGGGTTGATGAAGTAAATGGACTGGGTCTTTTGCTGTTGTCAGTGGAAATAAGGGAGAAAGCCCCCAGGCTCTGAGGAAAGGTGGTGAGAGCTGAGAGGGGGTAGGGACATGGGGAAGTGGGTGTTGGCACTGCCTTTGGTGCCAAGGAAGGAGGGGACCAAGAATGAGAAGTCTCAAGTCTATGCACAGCCGGAGTGTCTGTCCCCCTTAAAAACACTGGCTGGGTGCTCAGTGGATGGGGGAGCTCAGTGGTAGTTAGAGCTCTAGGCTCTGCATTCAAACTCTGGAAGCACCAAGAAAAAGAAAAAGACAGACCCAGGAAACTTTGAGTCTATAAAGGGTAGCAGGGCTTGCCTATTGTTGCCCCTTTATCAAAACCATACAATGGACATGACCTTTGCGTAGTGACACTAGTGTGCCCTTGTGTTGCAAGTTGGTGTGTACTGACTTGAGTTGGATGGTTTCTGTCAAGTCTTTAGGAATAAACTCTAGCTCCCACCTGGAGTGCTCATAGTAGGCCACAGGCATGGCCGCTCATTGGCTACATCAGAGAGTGTGTGTGTGTGTGTGTGTGTGTGTGTGTGTGTGTGTGTGTGTGTGTGTGTGTGTGTGTGTGTGTGTGTGTGTGTGTGTGTGTGTGTGTGTGTGTGTGTGTGTGTGTGTGTGTGTGTGTGTGTGTGTGTGTGTGTGTGTGTGTGTGTGTGTGTGTGTACCCCTAGTATAGCATGGTTTGGCCCAAACCACCTTTGCCTTTGGGAAGAACAAACTTCCCCGTGAGACATTGTTCCTTCTGGTGTTGGGGGAACCCTCCTGGAGATAGAGAAGCTGGTGAGGGAGTTGCATACCTAGGTCAGCTCTTTGAGGAGCATGAGTGGTGCTGGCAGCTGGTATCTGACAGCCACCCCATGAACAAGGTCCCTGATACATCCTCCCTGCAGTCCCCCAAGATGCTGCTGCTTCCCTACTGCCCTTCCCCCTCGGGTAATGCCCTCTGTGTCTTACTAGTCTGACTGGCCATTATGGAATGTCTGAACCTTCTCCTTTCCCTTCTCTTCACCCTTTGGGAACAGGGCAGTGGGACCTGAGGGCCAGTGAATGCCAGGCAGGCACCTCCTTCTGGGGGGAGAGCTTACACCTGTCTAGGCTCTGCCAAAGCACCTGGTGGGGGTGGGGGGGAGGAATGTCTGCTCCCTCTTCTGAAGTCCAGAGTGCGTAGGTCCTCATTCCTCTTATTCCAAGGAGACTCCCTCCACTCTTCAGCTGCAGGGGACAGGGGAACTTTGCATCCTGGGACATGCTCAGGCCTTCATCAGAGAGAACAGTATAATCCCCACCTGTCCCCAGGTCAGGTGGGCTAAACCAACACTGCCTTTTTTTTCTGACAGCAATCAGATGATAGGATCAGTATCTTCAGATTCCATTAAGGGAAAAGATAGCCCCCTCACCTAAAAACAAAAAACACTCTTCTTATTAGTAAGCCTCTTTACCAAAATAGCTAAATTTTGAATTGCATAACTTAAACTGTGGAGGCCTGGGAATGTGGTTCAGGGGCAGAGTGCTTCCTAGTGAGCAAGACCCTGGGTTTCATCCTTATCATCAAAAAGAAAAGAAAAAGGGAAAAAAGAAAAAAAGTTGTGGACAGTAAAAAAAATTAGTTATGGAAATTTATTTTCTCTTGTGTCAATGTAATGTCAATTTTGCCCTTGTCCCTTAAAGCCTAAAATATTTATTCTCTAACCCTTTACACAAAAAGTTTACCAGTCTCTGAGCTAACCTTCATTACTCTCTCTCCTCTCCCTCCCTCCCTCTCTCTCTGATTTTGTTAACTAATAAAAGTATAAACTTAGAAGTAGGAGGTGGATGCAGATGAATTTCTCTGAGTGCCCCCTCCCTGGTGTCTCACTTTCTTTAGTCTTATTTCCTGTGTGGCTGAAAATGAAGGTTCTGGTCCTCAAACCCCAGGCTTCCCAATAGATCATCCTAGCCTCTGGGGGAGGGGAAATATAGAAGTGTCTGCTTCCCCGCCTACTCCCTGTTCTTGGAGCCCTGGGTCACCTGGCAAGGGTCCTAGGGCTTGACACCAGAAAGAGTTTTTGTGCTAGCATTTTAGGACTGCTGAGATACAGGGAGTAATGGTTGCCACTCAGCTGGTCACTGGAACACTTCTGTCCTGGAAGGAGACAGCTTGATCTCACCTCCAACTTGTGCCTGAAGGATGGAGACTCTCTTCCACTAAGCTTCTCTGGGGTGGGCAGATGCCCCTGGACCTGTCTAGTGGTGCTCTCCTTACTTAGGGTGGCTAAAGTATGGCATTGCCAAGGCAATTTATGTAAGAAACAAATGAATTTCATTTTTTAGATTTGGATCTCATCACCCAGATACCTCATTGTGTATGTGTAGATATTCCAAAGTCTGAAACAGTTTGTTCCCAGTGTATTTGGATACAACATGGTCAACCTATAATAGATTGAGCCAGGTTGAGTATCTCATTGTCCAACCTGAATCCCTACCCAGGCCACACCTGCCAAGAACAGGGCAAGCTCATGGTTCACATGCCAGGCTAGACTGTACCTTATATGCTTCATCCCTGGGTTGGGTGTGGCCAGCTAGGGAGACCTTTGGGGCTGGCTGCTGAAGACCTGAGTAAGTGTGAAAGAGATTGCCTGGTGAACTTCCCCCAGCCCTCTCCTCGCCTGATAAAGCCTCCTGACTGTTTTTAATGTTTGTGTATTTAAAGTGATTGCTTTCTTGCTTTTTTTTTTTTTATTCTGATCCTGGGGCTTGACCTCAGAGCCTGGATAATGTCCCTGAGCTCTTTTTCTCAAGGCTTGTGC